AGCATATATAAAAGTAAAAATGTGTTTTCTAAGTTCCAATCTTTCAACAAACATCAGTACAACTTTTGAGACTCAGTTTCCCATTGTTTTCTAGAAAACCAGACATTACATAAGAGAGGCCCTGAAGTACCAGTTTGTTCTTACTTTCTGTGATATGCTAAGTATAAAATGTGTTCTTTTAGTCCCTGAAATAAAAATAATTTATATTTTTTAACTTTTGCAATTGCACGTCTCAATTATAACTTTACAGCCATAATTTGTTATTGTCTGCATATATATGTGGTCGGTCATTGTCCTCTTATAGTTTCCTTTCATATTCATGTTCAAGTTGTAATGTACTTATAATCTTTTGTGTGGCTAACCATATTTATGATACTAATGATTCCATTACCCCAAGTCCTCACTTAACTTTGTCAATAGGTTTTGGAAACTGGGATTTTAAGAAATGACATATAAGGAAACCGATTTTGCCATGGGCTACTTGATATAACCAAAGTTTAGTTCCTATGGCATATTTCTGGTCACAAAAACATCTCCAAACTTCTAAATAAGATCCTAAAAACTAATATTAAACTTTGGAAAAAAAAGTGAGCTATAATACATTTAAGAAAGAATAATAAAAACAAGTAAGATACGTAATTATTTTCCAAATTGCTTATTCTAATTCAGGGTTGAGGGTGACAAGAGTCAATTCTGGCAGGTTAGTCATACCCACACTCACACTCATTCACACTGGGACAATTTAGATATGTCAATTCACATAACGTGTACATCTTTGGGATATGGGAGGAAACCAGAGTACCTGGAGAAAACCCATTTGGACATGGACATGCGCACTAATACAGACAGTGGCCATGTCTGGAGCTGATTTCCCACCCCCCTCTACCCCCCCCCCATCAATGTTATAATGAAAAAACGTTACACAAAACCACATTGTTGCAGGACCTGCTGTATAGTGAATTAAAAGTACTGTGTTAGGTACATTCGATTCTATTTTCCCCCTATATTCTTTTCAAAGCTAAATTTCTCCCCTAATTTTCATATGGGCTCTCATAAATTAACTGATTTCTATACTGAAAGTAAATCTCTGAATCATTGAATATTACTGAAGAATCCTTTAAAATTAACTAATATAAGTTGACTTATGACTTTTATAATATTCAGTGAGAAGATGATATTTAAAGTTCAGACATTAGTATTTCTAGTTTTTTAAAAGTGAAAGTGAAAGAAGTATATGTTCCAAAGAGTTCCATTAGATTGTTTCTTTATACAAAGTACATTGTACATGATTAAAAGAGCCTGCATGTGTATGTCCCTTCAAAAATCCAAATTAATATTTCCCCAAAATTTGTTTTTCTGTAAAATTAATCATTATGTTTTGTGTCTTAAAACTGCTCAGATTATCTACCATTTCTTCCAAATTATTGATGCTCCTATCATAACTAATGCCTGAATGAAGTGATAGTCTTCACATAGGAGGAATAAATTCATGAATCCTGGTTCACTTACATTTTAATTTTAAAAAATTAATCACTGGATGTGAAACTTTAATGAATGAAGGCTGTTTTTCCCAAAATGTTAGACTGTCAAAAAGTTTTGAATTTCATTGCAGCGAGCCAGATTCAGCAACCATTTCCATGTGATAATGTTGGAATTACAGCTAAGCAGCTTTAATTAGACTAATAAGATAGCCTTCATAAAAACGCCTCCATGAAAGTGCATCCAATAAACTTGTTATTCTTTTCCCTCTGGAACTTAACATCTAACTTACACATTAAAAGCTTTATAGCTAACTAGCCCTAACTGGTTTTGCTCAGTGGATAGAGCACCAGCCTGCAGACTGAAAGGTCCCAGGTTCTATTCCGGTCAAGGGCATGTACCTTGGTTGTGGGCACATCCCCAGTAGGAGGTGTGCAGGAGGCAGCTAACTCTCTATCCCTCTCCCTTCCTCTCTGTAAAAAAATCAATAAAATTTATAAAAGCTTTGTAGTTAACTAATATTATATCACAAGATGTAATTTTCTAGAATAGTGGAAAATATAGTTAACACATAATTTGTTAAAATGTGTTTAAACTTATATTCCATACAAAAACTATTAATTAGCTCACATTGGGTACAAACATTATTTGGACATTGAAATGATTGATTGATATTCTTAAATTGCAAATCAATAAGCCACTGTTATGCTTTAATTTTGCATTAACTCTCTTGTGTTACTTTTGGAAAGCTGTATCTCATGGTTCATGATGCCTTAAGGTATTTTGTGATGTGTCACTCAGATTCATTTACACGTTTGAGTATTGCAACAGTGGTTCTGAACCATAGCTTCACATTAGAGTCATGTAAAACATATTGGCCAGGCCCTCAAACCCAGTATTTTGATTAAATTAATTTGAAGTGATTTTTGTGAAAAGTTTCTCAGGTTATTCCAAAGTGAAGCCACCTTTGAGAACCACTAAATGGGAGGATTTGGGAATAATGAAAATGTTTTGCTTGTAATATACTAGAACAGATTTCCAAGAGAGAAGATAATCTGAATGGACTATATTTAGCTAGCTCCAGGAATGACATTTGTTATGCCATGACTGGACCAGCTAATGCTTTGAAGTTCTTCCTAGTTCTCTGACTCTAAGATATTATAGTGTTCTTTCCATGTTAATAATTATTTCATATTTTTTCTTGATAGAGCACAGAGTGACTCATCAGTTTTGAAAATGCGCTTGTGAATAATATAATAGAAGCAAGCTATGGGGAGATACATCCATTCTTTCAAAGATTCATTATCTGTACCAACAAAATATAATCCATGACACTGCAATAGAACCCTTTGAAAAGTAAAACAACACCAACAACAATGTGAATACAATCAATACTGAGTCCAGGTGTACTAATGACAAAAAGAGATAAAGAAATGATCAAAATTGAGAGGTAGTAATCAGTGATGTCTTCTTGGAAGCACTGCTTTATGACAAATTCAGAAGGAAGTGATGCATTTCAAGTCAACAATGAAATTCCAGTCAACAAAGGGACTCTGTGTAAATGCCACAGCGAATAAAATATGGATAAGCTATGGTCCTCACTGAGGAGCCTTGATAAGCTAATTCAGGAGGAGGTCTATCAAAAGTCTAATACGAGGGTAGAATATACTAGGAGAGCACAGCAGAGGATGGGTTTATGTCATATTACAACATTGTGAGCAACTTCATGGGCAAAAGTAATTTGAACTAAGTCTTGAAGTGTTGGAGGAGAGTGATTGGGAAGATGAATAAATGCCTTCCAACCTAACTATTAACATAAATAACAATATGGAGGCACAACATTTACTGGGATGTGCAGGGAAATAATGCAGGGGATGAATGAAAGCAGCATGTCACAGAGAAAAGAACACTCAATTGTGTTTGGAGAAACAATAGCTCAATTCACCAGACTAGATTGAGAGAAGGACTCAAGTGAGAGAGAGAAGAAAAGAGGCTTGCCAAGGCTGAGGGTAAGGGGGAGCTCTGAAAGGTGGTTTGAGGAGTTTGACATCCATACATCCCAAGTAGCAATATTCCCAAGGGATCCCAAGCATAACTGAAATAATAATAATAATGCCTGGTCTCAACTAGTCTCTGGGTTGTGTTAGCAGTCTGAAATGAAGCCAGACTGGATATGTTCATCTATATAAGAAGGCAAGTCACAATCCTCAGGATTGTATTTTAAGGAACAAATTTACAGAAAATTCTTTCATTCCAGGACTGGGATGCTGTCATTCAGTACTTTCTTTCTCAGCTCTTTCGAGGGAGAAACAACCAATTTCCTTATTCTTAATTTATATAACTAATCTGTTACCAAGCTACTAAATGTAATATTTTGATCAAATGCTTCCCTGAAGCATGTATTTCAGTTTTATTTAATTATTATATCTTTTATTTCAAGATCTTTTTTATCCCTTTTTCTATCCTGAATTCCTAAAAAATACACTGGAGACAGAAAAAAAACACACACACCAAAAAACCCCCCACAAACCCCACATTGTATAAAAGGCAATTAGCACGCCCTCTCCTTTTTATAACTTTATAATTGAAATCTCATTAAAAGCTTTCTAGGTCTCAGCTCCCTTAGTGACCAGGTGTCCCTAATTTGTTTTTAAACTAATGTGACTAATTCCAGGCAATGACTAGAAAAAGTCTAATACCTGTTGGAGAATAGCAATAGCAAGGTTATAGAAGTGGGGTGGCTTTTTAGGTTGCCTTTAACCTTGTTTTTTTTCTTTTTCTTTCTTTTTTTTTTTTAAAGGCTTCAACGTCTTTTCTCTCCGAGTCCTGCCCTTTTTTTCAGTCCCGGCTGAAGATTCCAAGGGAAATGAGAGCACTATTTTGTTTCTGCCTGGTATTGCAGATAGGGGGAGGAGGTGGTTATTAGAGAGAAGCTCTTTCTCTCTCGGTTTCCCCCTCTCTCCGCCTGACAGCACCGCTCTCTCGCAGGCTCGCTGGTTCTCTAGGTGATCCATTTCCAGGCAACGTGGGGCTGCTGCCGAAGCTGCCCAGCCAGCTCTTCCCTCGCTCTCCGCATCCCGCCAGGCGAACCGCTCCGAA